CCCTACTCCTGCCATGGCTTCATCTTCTTTCTTCCTTCTTCGCGATAGAGAGAAGAGAGTCAGGACACGTGTACTCGAAGAGACGGTCTTTTCTGTCGCTTGATTAAGGGACGTAGTTTGAGATAATAGCTATTTTTATTTATTTTTAATTCTGAAAACACTAAGAGACGGGCTTAAAAGACCCCGTTAATGATGCTCTAAGTGTCTGTGTTCTGTTTTTTTTTTCTTGTATTAATGTGTGTTTATATATTTATATACAAGTGTGCTCTTAGAGGAGAGAGAGAAATCCCGTGGGGAATTCGTGAGATCATCCGTTTAATGTTTGTGTTTGAATCATTATGTTAGCTGTTAGACATAATACGAATTTAGGTTATTTGTTTATGTTCGTAACTATATAGAGTAGTATTAATTTAAGAGTTATTCTTGGATTCACCACTTAGAGTGAACCTTCACCAACCAATAGGATGATATTATTTCATATTTGATATCTTTTAAAAAGAAAAACAAAATCTTGTTAAGTTATATATGTTTTTAAAATAAAAATAGAAAAAATAAATAAAAATAATAATATTTAAAAAATGAAAATAAATCTTTTAAACAAATATTTTAACATTATAGTATATTTTAAATAAAAAGATAAAATAAAATAAAAAACAGTAATAATTGCAAAAAAATAATTTTGTAAAAAGAAATCTTTTAATATATCTTTAAAATGAAAACAAAATATTGTTGTATTATATTATGTTTTAAAAATAAAAAATAAAAATAAATAAAAACAGTATAATTGGTTAGTATAAATTTTTTTGATTTAATGTTTAAGATTTTTCCAAAGGGTTTATGATTTACCCAAGGGTTCATGGTTTAGGATTAGGGTTTAGGATTCGGGTTTAGTGTTTTACTTAAAATATTTAAAAAAAAAGTTTTTTTTTCGTTTTTTTTGTAAATATTATTTTTTTTTGTATTTTTATTTTAAAAATATAATATAACTTAACAAATTTTTATTTCCTTTTCAAAAATATATCAAATATAAAATAACACTATTTTATTGGTTGGTGAATCCAAGAATAACTCTTAATTTAAAACATTTGTATATTCATTGCTTAAAATGTCAACCAAGATTTGCCAATTAAAAGTAGATATGTGAACCCCATGTAGAGACAGCCACTTAAGATGACCAAATCGCTAGTTTAACACTTCTTGATTCGATAGTTATTACTACTTAAGAGGTAAATTATTGCTGTACCAAATAAAAAATACATTTAAATCGTGTATATCAAAATTGAGTTGGCTTCTTTTAGTGGTCTGACTTATGGATTATCCATTCAGCTAAACGAATAATAAAAACATATATTTCAGGTTATAAAGTTTTTATTGAACCAATTGAGATAGGGAGAATTTCGATTATACCATTTTGGTGATACCACTTTTCATGTTTACCATAAACAAACGAACATTTTTAAAAATACATATTTTATTAAAGAATAAAAAATTCTTATATCCTTGTTCTTTATATATATACATAAAATAAATATTAAATAAATTATTGATCTTAAACCCTAAAATATCAATTCTAAACTCTAAGTTCTAAAAAGTAAATCCTAAACCCTAAAAATCAATCCTAAAAATCCTAAAATATCAATTCTAAATCTTAAACCCTAAACTCTAAACCCTAAAAAGTAAACCCTAAACCCTAAAAAATCAACACTAAACCCTAAACTATCAATCCTAAACCCAAAACCCTAAACCCTAAATTCTAATAGTATTTTAACTATTAAAATTTTAATGGTAAAATTGGTTAGTGTAAAGTTGAAAAATGGTATCTTGAAAGTGTTATTTTTGGCAATTTCCCATAGAGATATGACGGGACAGAAGAACAACATTTCACGTTACGAATGAGCAAATGTTTGCAGTATGTATACTTTTTTTTTTCTTTTTGAAAAACGTATGTATACTTGTACCGTCGATGGTTGTGGTAGTACAAAATGGTACACATTAGAGGAAGATAAATAACTACCACCTTTGAATGATATTTTGTTTTTTTACTCACTTGACTTTTTGAACACATTATTTTTAATTGAAAAACAATTTTACGGAAAGTGCAAGAAATAAATCATAGAATATACAATAATAACAAAATATAAAGTGAATATTTAGAATTAAACAAATATTTTTAGAAAATAAAAAAATAGTAAAGTTGAATAAAATATTGTGAATGATTATAATTGTGGCTGTGGGTGACTTCTAACAGTAGCAACAAAATGCCACTATTGAAAGCCTAAACAAAAACGGCCATTGAACCATGACATTTGCATATGCTTTTCTAAATTGTGCTTATATCTAATATTAAGGAATACATGAATAAATTGAACAAATCAGAACTTTTTGTTGTTGGAAGATAGTGGTTGGTATAGCCTTCCGTATAAACTCCGCTTCAATGCGTTGTACTTGTACCAGAATGTATTTATTTCCACGTTTGCCAACGAGTTTTAAAAATTAATCCAAAACGAGGCTACGCATGGAACACGTACTCTGCGCGATCATTTATTTTAAAATAAAATTAAAATAATACAGCAAACAAAACAATGTCATCCTTTTCTATGAAATAATTAAGGTGAACCAAAAAGGCAAAGAAAGGTATAAAAAGTCAATATATAGTATTGATGGGGTAATGTTGAGCACTTAAAGGAAGCCAGCCAGCCAAGCTTTGGTCAGAGGACGATGAGTGTGAAAGTCCCCCACACGATGAGATTCACGGTAGGACTCTCTCATAGGCTTGTTTTCATATATTTTTTTTTGATTTTTTAGTTACAGCCCACAATATCACTCAAAACAAAGAGATGGTCATTGTCTGTAGATGTCAGGGCTATATGCAAAGTCGATATCGACATATTTCGGGCAAGATGCAACTTAGATATCGACATAATTATTTTTGAAAGCTGGTTAGATTCGACATATTTTCTCTATTTATTAGGTGATAATCCACGCCTTATGCGTAGCGAATAAATAACATAGAATTTTATTTTAATCTAATAAACATCTTGAGTTACCTCATTATTTTCATGGACAGATTCAGACTGAAATTTTAATTTCATCTACCTCGATCTAAGGAAACCTACGTTGACGTACACCGAGTCCTTGCTGATTCATCTGATTACAAGTCCACTCGTGTACTAGTCATGTAGTGTCTCCCTTAAATCAGTTTAAACATGGCATATGCTCACTTGTTATGAACGGCCACTAAGGAATAACACTTATCTTCAATAGAATGCTGCATAATTATTTCAACCTAAGCCACTCTCTGGTCCATGTTACTTCCTTTGTCAAGGTCATTCATATAACTAGGTCGACCAACCTTTCAGTTTCAGGATCTTGCTCTTGGAGAGTGCATCTTGACTAAGCCAGTTCATTTTAGAATTCCCTCATTCACAAGCATGATACTCTAGCTTACCTCAACTCTCTCTTGGCTCACCCCAACTAAGGTTTCATAGCCATCTGAGTTTTCAGAAATAATTTCGATGGAACTTAACATCTTTGGGCACTTTCCTAAACAGAATCAACCTAGCTCTGATACCAACTTGTAAGACCTGATCCCGACCACCTAGGCCGCAGTCGACGCCTCACGTCACTCGGTTCACTTCCGCGGTCGAACCGCTCCGTTTAAACCCATCCTTGCAAGATTGTGGCTATACAGCATGAAGGCAGTACCCTCAGTTTACCACCAATGTCTGAATTTCCCTACACCAAGAGGAATTGAAACCATAAGAGGGAGTCAAAAGAGCTCCAGAACATGCTACCTTTCGAGCTTCAAAGTCATCGAGCCGAGTCCATAAGACCGATCAAGAATCCCTAAGGAGAACAAGAATCGCATTCACATGCACGAAGAAAATCGAAAAACATGACCC